CTAACACCAATACGCCAAAGCTAAACACATCTGATTTTACCGAGAAGATCCCATCTACTGCATATTCAGGGGACATGTAACCACTGTGCCAATAAAACAACACCATGAGAATTAAAGAACCAAGATGTCATATGAGAGTACACTGTAAAATATTAGAGATTCGTACTGTGTCCCAACAACTTTGCGTGTTTTTGCACCCATCTCATTTCCTGTAACACTTCGAGCCATGCCAAAGTCTGATATCTTTGGATTCATTTCTATGTCTAGCAAAACATTGCTTGCTTTAAGGTCTCTATGGATAATCCGTAGTCTAGAATCTTGATGGAGATACAATAAACCACGAGCAATTCCGTTGATGATGTGGAAACGCTTTGGCCAATCAAGCAATTTATTCTTTGTTTGGTCTGCAAAATAAGCTTTCTTGTGAGCAGATTTTTTCATGTTATGACTAATAGATCTAATTATTACTCATTTTAGCTTCTGTAATAGGTTAGAAATCCAAACCAAATATGTACGAATCTAGGCTGTTGTTAGGCATGTATTCATAGATCAACATCTTTTCTTCCCCTTGGATGCAGCAACCCAGAAGTCTCACAAGATTTCGATGCTGAAGTTTGGCAATATAAATAACTTCATTTGTGTATTCATCAAGTCCTTGCATGGAAGTCCTTGACTGTCTCTTCACGGCAATTTCTTGTCCTTCCTCCAGCACTCCCTAGAAATGGCAAATGTATAATAGCTGAACATAGATTTTACAAAGACGAGAATATTGCAGAATGAAAATCATCTCTAGTACTCTGATCTTGAGCATAAAGCCATAAACTAGTTACTGTTTCAACAAATTTGCATTGTATACCTTGTAAACTGGTCCAAATCCACCCTCTCCAATTTTGTTGTTGAGCGAAAAGTTATTTGTGGCTCTTGTTATTGTCGACCATGGGAACAGTGGAAGCTCAAAATCTTCTCTGAGTTTCAGTTTCTTCTTTTTCCGTTTGTACCACAACAAAATCAGGATTAGCAGAATCGTTGCCACCAACAATGAGAAACTCACTGCGAGTATTTTTGCCTTCTTTCTGTTTGAACCTGCCTCAGATTCTACATTTTTTAAGTCAGTCACTGCAAATCAAGACACCCTTCTTACTTTGAATAATACACTCTTAATGTGTTGAAAAACTAAGCTGAGAAACAGTTCATGAGAAATTTCTTAAACAAGTTCTTACCTTGCTCTGAAGAATCCATCTTGATGAAAATGTCTTGTCCTGTGTCCGACATCTTTCTGATGTCAACCAATTCCTCAAACCATAATAAGCAACCTTTGTTTCCATTACTTATATTTAGACTTGAATAAGCTGTGCAGGAGCAGTCCGTGGAGCATACTTGCCTACACCCTTCGAGTGTCATGGTTTTATTGTTCTGAGAGTGCTTAGTATCTGGCAACTTGATTCCAGGATATCTTATAAATACATGTTCCCTTTTGCAATCTAAGGGTGTCCTCCGAACACACCCTGTTGTCCAATCTCCCTTTGCCCATTGTTGTGGATATTTAGGTACAAACTTATCCAAACATCCACAAATAGGTTCATTATCTATGTCACACCTTCCATACACACCACACAAGCTATATGTATCACAATTATCCGCAGGTAACCTGTAGTGAATATGCCATCTCTTTGTCTGATCCACCCACACGAAGCGTTGTATATCACCGTTGCTAGTCATGACCATTCTTGATAAAATCGAGCTGTGATTAATGAGAGAAAAGATATAGTAAATCCCCTCCTCATTGAAAGCAAATTGAAATCTATAAAGTCTGCTTTGTTGTAGTAGTGGTATGGGTGCCCCACTCCATTTTAAACCATTCCATGGTCCTACACGATATAATACATTTGTCCCACTTTTGGTGAGAATCTGTGGATATCCTGTAGGATCAATGCTACGAGTGAATTCTCCTGGAGCTGGATCATTATCGTTCTTCCATGATGAAAGGTAAAACTCATGTCCAGTTTTAAAACTTTTGCCAATCTTCATACCAGGCAAGTGTGTATCAGTTGGAAAATTGAAGCTCTGCCAGAGGAAATTTTCTGGGTTGTCATCATTTGCATCTTTTACAACAAGATTACCAGAATCTAAAAGCACTGCAACTGGATTGTGGACTGATCTTGAGGTGTTAGTAGACCATATAATTTTATTCTTGTCATTGAGAAGTGCAAGTATTCCCGGTTCGGTGACCTTCAAAATGACTGAAGATGTATTGGTAAGAGGTTTCTCTCTGTTTGCAACCCATACTACTGTTTGCATATAAGGAAGAATTTGCTTGTACCATATCCCAATATATCGATTTGAGGAACCGCTGGGGTTGAAGAATCCCAGCTCAAAGGTTCCACTGGATGAAACAATAGTTTCACCATCTATGATGAATTGATTTGTAGTGATTAAGTCGGTTGTTGTTGTAGACAAACTACTGTGTATAGAAGAGCAGAAAGTCAACAGAAAAAGTAGGAACAAACTAGCTTCCATAGATTATGCTGTGGTTTAATTTCTGGAAAGTGGCATATAAAATTCTGAAATTTGTATTTACTTCATATCCTTTTTGGACACGGCACCATGTTAATTTCTAGTTGAATAGTCGTTAACAATGACGGCTATAGACAGTCATTTGAAGTTTATAATACTTTTTGACAAAGTTTACATTTCAATATTTGAGTATAGGAATTCCGTTACCATATCAGAAAGCTATGGTCAGTCCATCACCACCTCGCTTTTCTGGATGATATTATTTGACTAGTCTTGCCTTGGATTTTGGTTCCAAAGTTTGCCATACCACAACTTAAAGCATCTAATGGACGGTAGCGGTGGAGTCAGGATTTTTAGGTTATGAGTTGAGTCAACTAAAAAGGTACGGAGGGAGTAGTAACTCTTTTAACGTGAAATAGGATGAATCAGGAATGTGATAACTGATTGATACTAACCATTATTGTTAGTTGTCACTCTGATATTTGATACTGAGATTAAAAAAAAAAAAAAATTCCACAAAAGAAAATCTTCAGTTATTGCTAAAAATCTTGAGTTCAGAGCCTAAAGGGTAAAAAAATTGACAAATATTTCAAAAGGCACATCAAATTTTTTTCTAACCAAAAGGGGACGTAGCGATTTTATTTGACGCCGTTAACAGATCAAAATCGCTGCCCTATCAGCGATTTTGTACAATTTTTTAATTATATTTTTCAGAAAATCGCTGCCCGTGCAGTGTTTTTGCGAATTTTTTTTAAAAAAATTAAAATCGCTGCTGTGGCAGCGTTTTTATAAAAATAAATTTATTTTATTTTTTGGAAGGCAGCGATTTTCGTTAATTTTTTTTTTAAATCTTTGGTGGAATTTTTATTTTTTTTGGTCAACTAGTCGACATGATGTTGACTAGTTGACAGAAATTTCAAAAAAAAAAAAAAATTCCACCAAAATTGCTGTCAAGGCAACGATTTTTAAATTATTTTTTTTCTTTTACAATTAGATAGACTAGTTGACAGAAATTTCAAAAAAAAAAAAAAAAATTCCACCAAAATCGCTGCCATGGTAACGATTTCTAAAAAAAATAAAAACATTCCACAAAATTTATAATAATGCTGCAACAGCAGTTATTTAAAAATAAATAAATGAAAATCGCTGCCAAGGCAGCGATTTTCAAAAAAATAAAATAAATTTGTTTTTATAAAAACACTGCCACAGCAGCGATTTTAATTTTTTTTTTTTTAAAATCGCAAAAACGCTGCACGGGCAGCGATTTTCAGAAAAAAAAAAGTTGGACAAAATCGCTGATAGGACAGCGATTTTGATTTGTTAACGGCGTCAAACAAAATCGCTACGTCAATAACAATTTTGCCCTTTTGATTAGAAAAAAATTTGATGTGCCCTTTCGAAATTTTTGTCAATTTTTTTTTGCCCTTTAGGATCCGGACTCCTAAAAATCTCAACCAATGCAATTAATACACCATTGCAGAATATAAGCTAAGAAGAAAGCATACATTGTTTGTTTTCGTTGAAGATTATCCTTGCATGGATCTAATTATATATATGATTAATAAGGATTATGATGGGATTGATGATAAAATTCTCTTATTTTTAATTCGAAATTTCTGATTGAGTCTTAAATATGACAAAAATCCTGTTAGAAAGAGCTTTTCCCTTAAATTGATTTTACACGATACAAAACTGTAAGATCGAATTAAGCAAAACTCCAATACATAATATCAAAATTAACTTTATTAATGGTATATTAAAACTTTTAATCTAACAACTTTTACTTTGTATATTATCTAAAAGTACTAAGGATAATATGGAGAAATATTAATAAAATTCTCTTGATTTGACGTGCATAAATGGACATTTAATGATCTTACTTGGGTTTGATTTTCGACTTTAGCATGTATCAAATTTTAATTTTTTAAAACATTTTATTAATTATAGTCCAGTTCGTTTGGTTGTTTTTTTCTTCAGTTTTCAGAGAATTCACCTCAAAATTTATAGCAAGTAGTTGACATGTTTATATTATTTATATTAAAAATAATGATGTTCCCAACACTTTTAAATCATTGGGTCCACCTCTCAAAGAATCAAGAGAGGAAATTGCCGTGCAAGTTAGGAAAAACTAGTATTATTAGTGGGGTTGTTGGGCAGGAATAAATTATTTTATGATTAATTATTTTGGAATAAATTATTTTGAGATAAATTATTATACGTATGTATATGAAATAACTTATTTATAATTTAAATGATAAAATAAATAATTTAATTATCTAATACCTTCAATCAAATAAAAAATAAAATAATTTCACATTTTATTTCAAAACTATTATATTTTATAGCTCACGTCAACATAATCTACATGAAATGGACAAGTGGACGTCCTTCAATTTGTAAGTGATGTTTCAGTCAAATATTTAACACCTTATTTTCCTTAGATTCGAGGGAAATGGTGGGAAGCTTCTTTTTTTTAACCATAAATACCAAGAAAATTTCATTAAATCCAAATAGAGCAATATAGAAAGTTACACTAAACACTAAAAAAAAAAGAGTATAAAAATAGCAATAATTACCCACACAAAAAAAATTGCATAGTAAATATGTGAGTATTCCATATTTTCCCTTTGGATGTTTACAACAAAATTGCTCGTTCTTAGATCCCATTTCTCAAAGTAGATTTTTCAGGCTAATCTTCCGGAATTATCTCTTTCCAGACTCCATCTCCGGCAATCGCCTCTCCCTTTACAAGAAACTCTACTTTGGTATTGGTTCTTTGCTGTTACTTTGATGATTTTGATATTTGGGGAAAGTTGGTGTTGTAGTCATTCTATATTAATATTACCTGGGCAATCATTTGAGTTAATTTTCTATTCACTTATAGAATTGTTCAAAATATATTGCTTCCTTATAGCAGATTTAGTGAATATGAATGGGGACCATTTGGTTATCGAAATCAGTTTCTTCGTCTTTGTTGTTATATAAGAAACACAATGTTCAAACTCGAGTAGAGAGAATCAAATTTGGGGAATTTCTGATTGTATTTCATAAAGTGTATTACAAAAGATGAAGTATGCCACTATATATACATGTGGAATCTACTGCCTGACACCTAACTAACTTGTGTAACTAACTACTTGCATTGCTAACTAACTGATCAACAAATTAACTAACTAATCAACAAATTAACTAACTAATTGAATATACATAATTATGCCTCTAAATCTGCATTACACTATTATCTCCAATACACGAACATACCTAAAGTATGTATTCGAAGAACAACAGAAATAGATAAAAAGATCCAATGCATAAGTAGATAATATAATCAAGTAGAAAAATTCAACCTGATGTTTATTTTAAGTTCTTACATATCTTTCCTATTCATGTACACACAAGTTTAAATAGTTATTTTGTCACACCTACCGAGGATCTAACATTGTGATTGTGAATTCATTTTTTGAACTTCTTGTCTGCGATCCGGATTTTCCTTCATCGAATATGTTTCGTTCTGTGAAAAATCCCGGTTCTTTTGCTTTTGGCAGTTGACTCTCATTAGCCAACATATGAACCACAGAAGACATGCTTGGTCTATCATCTGGATGTTGTTGCACGCATAATAAACCCACTTGAATTGACCTTAAAACTTGAGAAATATTGCAAGAATCAGCTAACTGCTCATCAGCTAGTTCCAAGGACCTATCATCTTTGTAAAGCTTCCATGCCTGTATGAGTTTAGATCATATGGATCATGACAAATTCTATTTTTGTAAAGAAAAAAATGAGTTGTGTGTGTAATACAGGTTAAACAGTGCTTACATGACCGAGAAGGTTAAGGTTGTGATCTTGATGCATAAATCCTCTATTTTTCTTGCCACTCACAATCTCTAACACCAATACCCCAAAGCTAAACACATCTGATTTTACCGAAAACATCCCATCTACTGCATATTCAGGGGACATGTAACCGCTGTGCCAATAAAACAACACCATAAGAATTAAAGAAGCAAAGATATCATATGAGAGTACATTGCATGATATTAGAGATTCTTACTGTGTCCCAACCACATTGCGTGTTTTTGCTCCCATCTCATTTCCTGTAACACTTCTGGCCATGCCAAAGTCTGATATCTTTGGATTCATTTCTGTATCTAGCAAAACATTGCTTGCTTTAAGGTCTCTATGAATAATCCGTAGTCGTGAATCTTGATGGAGATACAATAAGCCACGAGCAATTCCATTGATGATGTTGAAACGCTTTGGCCAATCAAGTAATTTGTTCTTTGTTTGGTCTGCAAAATAAGCTTTCTTGTGAGCATATTTTTTCATGTTATGACTACTAGATCAAATTATTACTCATTTTAGCTTGTACAATAGGTTAGAAATCCAAACCAAATATGTATGAATCTAGGCTGTTGGTAGGCATGTATTCATAGATCAACATCTTTTCTTCTCCTTGGATGCAGCAACCCAGAAGTCTCACAAGATTTCTATGCTGAAGCTTGGCAATATAGATAACTTCGTTCTTGTATTCGTCAATTCCTTGCATGGAAGTCCTCGACAGTCTCTTCACGGCAATTTCTTGTCCCTCTTCCAGTACTCCCTAGAAATGGCAAATGTATAATAGCAGAACATAGATTTTACAAAGACTAGAATATTGCAGAATAAAATCATTTCTAGCATAAACTAGTTACCGTTCCAACAAATTTACACTGTATACCTTGTAAACAGGTCCAAATCCACCCTCTCCAATCTTGTTGTTGAGCGAAAAGTTATTTGTGGCTCTTGTTATTGTAGACAATGGGAACAGTGGCAGTTCAAAATCTTCTCTGAGTTTCAGTTTCTTCTTTTTGCGCTTGTACCACAACAAAATCAGGATTAGCAGAATCGTTGCCATCAACAATGAGAAACTCAGTGCAAGTATCATTGCCTTCTTTCTTTTCGAACCTGCCTCAGATTCTACAATTAATTTTTTAAGTCAACCACCGCAAATCAAGACAGGTCACTAACTTTGCATTATATCATCTCTATTTGTTGAAAAAAGAGAGTTAAGAAACACATGGGAAATTTCTTAAACAAGTTCTTACCTTCCTCAATTGAAAAAAAATAAGAAGGTTACCTTCCTCTGAAGAATCCATCTTGATGAAAATGTCTTGTCCTCTTTCTGACAGCTTTCTGATGTCAACCAATTCCCCAAACCATAATAAGCAACCTTTGTCTCCGTTACTTATATCTAGACTTGAATAAGCTGTGCAGTTGCAGTTCGTGGAGCATACTTGCTTACACCCTTCGAGTGTCATGGTTTTATAGTGCTGAGAGTGCTTAGTATCTGGCAACTTGATTCCAGGATATCTTATAAATACATGTACCCTTTTGCAATCTAAGGGTGTCCTCCGAACACACCCTGTTGTCCAATCTCCCTTTTCCCATTATTGTAGATTTTTAGGTACAAACTTCTCCAAACATCCACAAATAGGTTGAGTACCTAAGTCACAGCTCCCATGCTCACCACACAAGCTATATGTATCACAATTATCCGCAGGTAACTTGTAGTGGCTATGCCATCTCTTTGTCTGCTCCACCCACATGAAGCGTTCTATATCACCATTGCTAGTGATGACTATTCTTGATAAAACCGAGCTGTAATTAGTGAGAGAAAAAATATAGTAAACCTCCTCCTCATTGAAAATAAATTGAAATGTATAAAGTCTGCTTTGTGTTAGTAGTGGTATGGGTGCCCCACTCCATCGTAAACCATTCCATGGTCCTATACGGTTTAATACATCTGTGCCACTTTTGGTGAGAACCTGTGGATATCCAGTAGGATCAATATTACGAGTGAATTCTCCTGGAGCTGGATCATTATCACTCTTCCATGCTGAAAGGTAAACCTCATGGCCAGTTTTAAAATTCTTGCCAAGCTTCATATCAGGCAAGTGTGTATCAGTCGGAAAATTGAAGCTCTGCCAGAGGAAATCTTCTGGATTGTTATCATTTGCATCTTTTACAACAAGATTACCAGAATCTAAAAGCACTGCAACTGGATTTTGGACTGATCTTGAAGTGTTAGTAAACCATATAGTTTCATTCTTGTCGTTGAAAAGAGCAAGTATTCCAGGCTTGGTGACCTTCAGTTGTACTGAAGATGTATTCGTGAGTGGTTTTTCTCTGTTTGCTACCCATACAACTGTTTTGATATGTGGAAGTATTTGCTTGTACCAAATCCCAATATATCGATTTGAGGAATCGCTGGGACTGAAGAATCCCAGCTCAAAGGTTCCACCGGATGAAACAATAGTTTCACCATCTATGATGAATTGATTTGTACTGATTAAATCTGTTGTTGTAGTAGAAATAATATTGTGTATAGAAGAACAGAAAACCAACGAAAAAAGTATGAAGAAATTAGCTTCCATAGATGATGCCATGGTTTTTACTTTCTGGATAATGAATGGCAAATACATTTCTGAAATTTGTATCTACTTCATATTTTATTCTATTTGAATAGTAGTTAACAATGGCGGCTTTAGACAAGAATTGGAAGTTTGTCAGGTTCTTAATGTCTCTTTGACTAAGTTTACCTCCATTATTTGACTAAAGTAACTCCGTTCCCATATCAGAAGGCTTTGCTCAGTCCATAACCACCTGACTTTTCTTGATGATACTATTTGTCTAGTCTATTATCTTGGATTTTGGTTCCAACGCTCCGTTTCATCTTACACGGTCCTTATTGATATAAAAATACATCTTTATCAAAATTTAATTAAAGGTGTATATTACTAAATTAACCTTGTTAATGATGCTTCCGAACTTTATATTTAATTACTGCTATTTTATTTTGTTATTTAATACTAAGAGTAGAAAGGAAAAAATATATAATAAAATTATCTTGATTTCATAAATTAGTAAGTAAATTAAAACAATTTTTTTTAGAATGGGGATAAGTAAATTGAAACATGAAACGGAGGGTGTGCTATCATAAAAAAAACTTTCCACAAAAGAAAATGTTCAGTTATTGCTAAAAATGCACTTGATTTCTCCCTTTTTTTTACGTTTAATTAATATTGTCAAAGACTTTGGAACATCTGGAATTAGGAAATATTTTAGTCCAAAGTTAGTTGCAGAAAGTCTTTCTTTGCGGCAACTTGTTAGGACGTGAACCAACCATCTTGTGACCAATTAAAATCCCAAAATAGTCCCTTATTTTTGGTTTGAGACTCAAAGTTATTCTTGAATTTTTACATGGAACAGTAGTAATCCCTCATGTTTACAATATTGGTGCACTCTTGGTCCTCCCCCAAAACTTTTGCCTATTTTTCAACATTAATTTTTTCCACAATTTATGTATGAAATATTCGGTCATCTTTTTATATATTTAGTAGAAATAATAACTCTATGCGAAAGAAGGTGAGAAGAGGAATACCTTGTTTTGTTTGGTAAAAATATTATTACGGTTAAAGTCGAAAGGTTCATCACGTCGTTTTCACGTGCAATAGTATAATTTTTTCTTTTCATGCAACACCATATGTCAAGATTTTCTTAGTTTAGCTACAATAATATTTCTACCGAACAGTACAAGGTTCTCTTCTTCTCACCTTCTCTCACATGGAGTTATTATTTCTATTAAATTTATAATAAAAAAACAATTGAACATTCCATATATAAAATTAAGGACAAAAGCAATGTTAAATAATAGGCAAAATTTTGGAGGATGACCAAAAGTGCACCAATATTACAAATATGAGTGACTATCACTGCTCTATATGAAAACTAAAGGATAACTTTAAGTCTTAACCCAAAGATAATGGATTAGTTTGAGCCTTTTCAGCAAGGAATGTTATTATGGTGCACATATCAAATTATTAGTGTGTTTGACCAATTATTTTAACTTTTATGCTTAGATAAGAATTCAATGTTTTAAAAGACTCTGTCGAGACCCGCTTTGGAGCAGGGCTATAGCAAAATGCTCCGAGATTTATGTGTGGGGCTTAGTTTTATGAGACTTACGCTTTAAGCGTCCGTTTGTACGTCCTAAACATGCTCAATGTCCAATACGAGGGCTTGCTTAACAGATCTTACACAAATTATGTGTTAAATTGTTTAGTTAAAATTGTTGATCCTCATAATTTTTTAATAAATGAATGATACCTAATAGTTTTTTAAACTATATATATATATAACAAGTCGTAGTATTGTATATTTACTATTTCATAATATCGTGAGGGTGATTATTATTTAATATTTCTTTTAAAAGTATCTAGCCAAGTTTTATAGCTTTACTTTTATTGGTCATGTTTTTGTCATATATCTCTCAATTATCATATTTTATTATTTCGCTATTTAAAAATAATTTAATAGTTATTCATGATGGAGTGATGTTTTTATTATAATACTAATAAGTTTTATTAATTGTTTTTTTAGGGAGGTAAATTGCATAGGATAACAACAATATATTTTTAGGAATAATGATTCTTTTATTATTTAAAAGTTAAGATATTAAAGTTGATTTGCTTCTCATTATAATGTTTATATCATTATTATTTATACTTGTAAATTCATGTTAGAAGTTTTATTTTCTATGAGTTTCCTTAATCATGTTTCCTGTTTGATGTATTTTTATAATTTTGTGCTATTATATTATATTTCTATAATAGAAATTAAAAATTGAAAAATTCATGGGACTTTTGCTCTATGCCTCGGGGCTTACACCTTGTCCTGCGCTAAGTAAAATGTCATGTCTCACGCTCTTACCTTTTAAAACACTGAATAAGATGATATGTTTACGCTACTATATCACTTAAAAAATTACCTAACTTTTCGTGACTAACAAATTAGTCACTTGAAAAACTTAATATGCTATTTGTTTCAACATGTTAAAAAACATAGAAACAATTTTTGTTCGGTTATGAGTGGTTGTTAGTTAGAAAAATAGTTATTCATGTATTAAATTAAAAATTGGAATAGTTAATATTATGTTAGCTAGTTTTTTTTAAAAAAAAATCAACATATCAAATATGGCGTTTGGTTATTATTTTACAATCTCACGTGAATAAAATGTGTATTACTTACAAGTTATGCATCAACGTATATATTATTTTATATATTCTATAATTCTCAACAGATGCAATTAATGAGTATCCTTAGGCGGAACTAATAATATATGTGATCAGCAGAGGTTATGACGGAATGAATAAGATTCTTTCATTTTTATTTAGAAATCTCAAGTACGAGTCCTAGATAAGACAAAAATCACCACATTAGGGAGAGCTTTCCCCGTAAACACGTCTAACAGGAAACGAACCACAAGTTCGGATTAATCGGAATTCCAAAATATCAAACATCAGGTTTGGAAACTAAAAAAAATACTATCTAATAATGTGATGGTGATTTGATTCCTTGAATTTTCTATCCCAGGTTCCTGCATTAGACTTCCGTTACCTCTTTAATATCATCGTTTAGACAGACTTTTGAATTGTCTTAAATTATAATCCATCATTCAATTGTTAATATTATAATGGGTAAATTATAATATTGTGTTTGAGACAGGTAAAGGGCTGCAAGTCAAAATAGCTTTTGTGTTTCACACACTACCGAGGATCTAACAATGTGACTGACTTCATTTTTCGAATTTCCTATCTGTGATCCTGATTTTGCTGCATCAAGTACCTTTCTTTCTGTGAAAAAACCCGGTTCTTTAGCTTCTTGAAGTGGACTTTCATTAGACAACATCAGAACCACAGAAGACATGTTTGGCCTATCTTCTCGGCATTGTTGCACGCATAATAAACCTACTTGGATTGACCTCAAAACTTGAGATACATTGCAAGAATTAATCAGCTAGCTGCAGCTCATGATCAATTAGTTCCAAGGACTTATCTTCTTTGTAAAGCTTCCATGCCTGTTCGAGTATAGATCATGGGGCGTGTCAAATTCTCTGTGTTGTTAAGAAAAGAAGATGTAATACAGACAATATATAGAGTGCTTACATGACCAAGAAGGTTAAGGTTGTGATCTTGATGGACAAATCCTCTGTTTCTCTTGCAACTCACAATCTCTAACAACAACACACCAAAGCTAAATACATCTGATTTTACAGAGAAAATCCCA